GGGGGGGGGACGCTGCTTTGCTCTGGAGGACCGTGGGGTACCCCAGCACAGGGGATGTTGGAGGGGGTTATTCCTCCCTTGGGGGGGCTGTGTCCCACCTCCTGAGCTCTGGGTGAGGGGGACAAGCCCCCCCACCCCTGGGTTGAAAGCTGGCTATTATTGTCCCATTTTTGTCCCCCTTTTTGTTCCTGCTTGCTATCTGTTTCCCAGTCCCAGGCTGGGGTGAGAAGGGTCTGGGGCCCCCCCAAGACCCAGGCTGGGGTGAGAAGGGTCCAGGAGCCCCCCCAGACCCAGGCTGGGGCAAGAAGGGTCCGGGACCCCCCCCCAGCACCATCCAGTGTGGTTGGGATGGGACTCCAGTGCCTTCTCTGCCAGCATCCCTGGAGCCCCCCCTGCTCGTTTATGGGTTTATGAGTTTATGGGCACGGTCACCGGTGTGTCCCCAGGATGGGGAGTGGTTCAGGGGGATGTGGGAAAGCTTGGGGGGGCCTCTGGCTGTGGGACACTGTCACCCCATGTCCCCACCACCCGCCTCCCTGCAGGGCCCCCCCCAGGGATTGATTGCCACCCCCAGGGACCGATTGCCACCCCCAGCCATGGGGATCTCCGGTGCTGTGGGGCTGGATCAGACCCTGCTTCCCCCCCAATATCTGCTACTGGGGGCTGGGGGGACAGGGGGTCCTTGGGGGACAGCTCTGTGGGCAGGGGGGGGACATCACCTGGTAGCCAGGTCCTGCAGGCGACGCTGGTCCCCACCACCAACCAGGCAAGGGGTGGCAGAAGGGACATCTTTGTGCCACTTATCCCTTGTTGCCCCGTGGGAGGGTTTGGTGGCCCAGCCTCCTTGGTGGGGCTGGTGACCTGCCACCCCCCCGATGGCCGAAGGAGATGGTGACCCACTGGGAAAAGCTTTTAATCACAGCACGTAGCCTGGCAGTGCTCATCTGTGCAGAGTGTCCCCCCGGGTGACACCGGGACACGTCCCCCCACCCCGGCACGGAGGAGGTGGCTGGGAAAGTCCAGAGATGTTGGCAGTGCCATGTCCCCCCCCTTGGCCACGTCCCTGTGGTCCATGGGGCAGCCTCAGTAGGCAGAGCCCTGGATGTCATCGTAATCGCTGCCGTCGGAGGAGTCGGGCTCCTGTGCGTGTCCCCCCAAGGGACAGGAGGGACCTGGCCAGCCTGGAAGGGAGAGACCCCATCAGGGAGGTGGGCAGGGATGGGGAGGAGGATGTTGTGGAGGCAGAGGAGCCCTGATGCACCCCCCTCCCTGTGCCACCCTGATCCTGCCCTGCCCATGAAGGGTCCTCACCGGGGTGTGAGGAGGGGTCCCCGGGTGGCTCCTTGTCCTGCACGTTCTCGTACCACTCCCCCGAGGAGGTGCTGGAGCTGTCAGCGGGATGGGGCTCTGCTGGAGACACGGGTGTCCAGGGGTGGGACAGCACTGGGGCGGGCAGGCATGGCTCTGCTGGGGGAGAAGAGGACTCTCAATGGCATCTTCCATCCCTGCACCCAGCCCCTGGGGTCCCCCCGCTCCCATTCCCTCCCTGGGGTTGTCCCCATCCCCGCTCTCATCCCCAGGGTTTCTCCATCCCTGCTCTCCTCCCCAGGGCTGTCCCTGCTATTCCCTGCTCCCATTTTTGGGGTCCCCTCACCCCCTTCCTGTCTCCAGGGCTGTCCCCATCCCTGTTACTGTCCTTGGGGTTTCTCCATCCCTTGCTCCCATCCTTGGGGTCTCTCCATCCCTACTTCCATCCTTGGGGTCTCTCCATCCCTGTCCCCATCCTTGGGGTCTCTCCATCCCTACTTCCATCCTTGGGGTCTCTCCATCCCTGTCCCCATCCTTGGGGTCTCTCCATCCCTGTCCTCATCCTTGGGGTCTCTCCATCTCTGGGGTCTCTCTCTCCATCCCTTCTTCCATCCTTGGGGTCTCTCCATCCCTGCCCCAGTCCCTGGTACCACAGAGCCCACCAGTGATGCCCACCTGTGCCAGGATAGTTGTCGTAGCCGTGGGTGATGGGTGCTGCGTGCGGGTGGGTGCCATCCTCGGGGGGCTGGGGGCAGACCCAGGCGTGAGGGGGGGCCGCGCTGTGGTTGCAGTAGGGCTCAGCGGAGGAAGAGGAGGAGCTGGAAGAGCTGCTCGCCCTGCTGCGGGATGGGGGGCCCAGCCTGGCTGGCACTGTGGGGCAGAGGGCTAACATTAGCCCCCCCAGGGCTGCAAGGGTGACCCCCTGGCCCACCAGTGGTACAGGACAGAGGGATGGCCACCCCTGGTGTCATACCCCTTGTAGGGAACGGCTCCATCCCATCCTGGTTGGGCATCAACGGGAGCGACTGGTCCCCGGGATGTTGGCGCAGGGAATCTGTGGGGTGGGCAAGGAGGAGGGACATCAGCCAGGGCGCCCCGGGACACCCCAGGAGAGGGTGATGGGGGTCCCAGGGATCCCCAGGGCAGGTGGGATGCTGACTATAGAAGGTGGAGAGGGCCACGGGTGGCTTGCTGCTGAAATCGTAGTGTTCGTAGTCGGAGTCGGAGTCCTTGGCGCTGGGAAGGTCCGTGACCGGTGGGTCTGGGGGGGATAAGAGGGGAGACAGGGCAGCCATGGCCAACCAGGACCCCCTGCCCCACAACATCCTGCTCCCCTCTGACCCACCAAGACCTACCTGGTCCTTTGGGAAGGCTGGTGGGCATCTCCCTGTAGTCGTTGGAGGTCCCGGAGGGCACGTCAGGGCTCTGGATGCTGTGGGTCACCAGGACCGGCCCAGCCAGCCCGGGGGAGGACACGGCGTGGGCTGTGGGGACAAGGGGTGACACCCTCACAACTGCTCCGTGGCACAGTTGCCCCCCATTCCTGCAGCCCAGGGAGTGGGGTGGCCCCGGCTGGGCCACCAGTGTCACCCCCTCCATGGTCAGAGCCCCCCATTCCCCCCCGATGGGGGGTGAGGGGAAGCTTCCTTACCGCTCATCTTCCTCACCCTCAGCAGGGCGGTGGTGAAGGCCAGGACAGTGAGGAGGAGGAGCACCATCAGCACCAGGCAGAGGATGAAGAGGGGCATGTAGAGGGGGGACTGTCCCCCCGCTGCCAGGGACCCCTCCTCGGCTGAGACAGAGAATGGACACAGCTTGTGACACCCGGGACGGCCTTCCTCCAGGTGAAAGGGGGTGAGCTGGATGCTCCCCGCACCCTCCACCACCCCCTTGTCCCAAGACCCAGCTCACGGCTGAAGCTCTGTAGGACACTCACCTCTCAGGAGGGTGACGTTGCTCGGTGTCACTGTGGCCACCGGGGTGGGTGTCTGCAAGCCCTGGGAGCCTGTGAGCAGGAGGGGAGGGACAGGGATGGAGAAGGGGTGGTGGGGGACAGAAGAAAGCAGGTTGCAGCTCATCTGCCCCCCAAAAAACCAAGGGGGTGTCTCCCATACCGTTGCAGACCACGCCGACCGCCTGGGACTGGTGGCAAGGAGCTGATTTATTGTAAGCCCACCAGCAGTGGGCCAGCGAGGGCTGGAGGTTCTGGCACTCGTAGACCATCCTACTGGGCAAGGTGTGGGGGAAGAAGAGTCGCCGGAGGGGCGGGCCGCAGCCCAGGCTGTGGCACAGCACCTTGGCCTCCATCTCGTACCACGTGCTGTCGCACACCGTGCTCCACGTGCCGCGGAAAAAGACCTCCACCCGACCCGCACAGCCGTCCCGGCCACCCGAGAGCTGCCATTCCTGGTGTTCTAGTTGGGGTGGGGGGAAAAAGCAGAGATCATAGAATCGTAGAATGACACGGGGTTGGAAGGGACCTCTGGAGATCAGCTCCTCCAACCCCCTGCCACAGCAGGGCCACCCAGAGCAGGTCCCACAGGAACGTGTCCAGGTGGGGTTTGAATGTCTCCAGAGAAGGAGACCCCACCACCTCTCTGGGCAGCCTCTGCCAGGGCTCTGCCACCCTCACAGCAAAGAAGTTCCTCCTCAAGTTTAGGTGGAACTCCTTATATTCAAGTTTGTGCCCATTTCCTCTTGTCCTATCACAGGGCACCCCTGGAAAAAGCCTGGCCCCATCCTCCTGACACCCACCCTTTCAGTATTTATAGGTGTTGATCAGATTCCCCCTCAGCCTTCTCTTCTCCAGACTAAAAAGACCCAAGTCCCTCAGCCTCTCCTCAGCAGAGAGATGCTCCAGGCCCCTCATCATCTTTGTAGCCTCTGCTGGCCCCTCTCCAGCAGTTCCCTGTCCTTCTGGAACTGGGGAGCCCAGAACTGGTCCCAGTGCTGCAGCTGGGGCCTCCCCAGGGCAGAGCAGAGGGGCAGGATGACCTCCCTCCACCTGCTGCTCACACTCTTCCTGATGCCCCCCAGGATGCCCTTGGCCTTCTTGGCCACCAGGGCCCATTGCTGGCTCCTGGGCATCCTTTTGGCCACCAGGACTCCCATGTCTTTCTCCTCAGAGCTGCTCTCCAGCTCCCCAGCCTGTCCTGGTGGGGGGGTTATTCCTCCCCAGGAGCAGCACCCTGCACTGGCCCTTGTTGAATTCCATCAGGTTCCTCCCTGCTCAACTCTCAAGGTCTCACTGTGTGGTGGCACAGCCTTTTGGGGTGTCAGCCACCCCTCCTAGTTTTGCATCATCAGCAAACTTGCTGAGGGCACCTTTTATCCCTTCATCCAGGTCATTGGACATCCACACCAGATGTTCTGGTGGCTACCATCCCCGGCAAACACTAGCCCCACCTGAACACACCACGCCGGCGTCCTCCTTGTGGCTACAGTCGTGCTGCGTCACCGCCGGGCAGTCCCAGAGATGGTCCTCGTGTCCCTGGCAGCCCACCTCATCCCGGAGGATGGAACCGTTGCCCCGGCCGAAGGTGGCCTCACCGTGGACCTTCATGGCACGGCCGCAGCCCAGTTGCCGGCAAACCACGTCCCCGTCGGCCATGTCCCAAGCGTCGTCACACACCGTGCCCCAAGAACCTCCTTCTTCCACCTCCACCCGGCCCTCACACCGGCTCCGGCCACCCACCAGCCTCACTGCGGTGGGACCTGGGGGGAGATGGAGGGGCAGGGGGGGTAGTAGTGGTGGTGGTGGCCTTGGGACTGTCCCCCCCAGTTGCCACCACCACCCCCAGGCACTGCCCCCTTTCCCCACCAAAATGGAGGGTCCTTTGGCTCTCACCTGGTGCCACCGAGATGTTTCCAGCCGAGGTGTTGGGGGGTCCTGTTGGCTCCATGGGGGCTGCAGAAGGAAGGGACAAGGGGGGGGTATGAGCCCACCGGGACCCCCCCATGTGGGGCTAAACCTCCCCCCAACCCGAGCAGGGCAGGAGGTGGCACGGTGGGAAGATGGGGTTGATGGCCACAGGACAGATGGACACCCAGAGCCCCCGCAGAGTGTTGGCAGCCCCCGAGGAGAAAGCAGGAGTGAGTTCGGGGGGGTCAACCCCCCCTTTTTTCTGGCTCATCCCTGGCTCTTTTGGCAAAGTGTGGGGAGGAGCAGACGGAGCGGCTGCCTGGGGGCTCGGGGGCTCGCAGATGGGCAAACTGGTGGCACGTAGCTTCGGTGGCACCCCCAGCACAAGCCATAGGAAAGATGGTTGGCGGGGGTGGGGGGGGGAAGCTGGAGAAGGTGCACCCCCCGAAAATGCTGCTGGTGTGGGGCAAGGCGGCCAAAATGGCATCCTGGGGCTGTCACAAAATGGGCGGCTCTTCTTGCACCCCGAAAACTCGGTCCCCGTGTCCTCACATCAGCCCCTGGGCTTGGGAGGGGGGGGGATACACACAAATGTGCCCTGGGGGCGAATCCCGTGGGGTCTGCTCATGGGATGGGGGGGTCAGAATTTGGCCCTAAATACGGCGATATCAGGGCACTACTCACCTGTGGGAACACCGAAGCGGGGGGTGCTGTCCTGAATCCGGGGTGCCACCGCTGCCCCTGCCAACAGAGAGGGTCTGGTGCTGCCTGTACCCCCCCGTCTGCACCCCCAACATGCCCCCCCATCATGATTTAGGGCCAGCGTGGTGACATTTGAGGTTTTTTTCCCTCCCCATGGTCACCCCCAGGGCAGGACATCATTTTAGGCCACCAAAATCCCACCCTCTCCCCCTCCCCTCTCCCCGACACCTCAAGGAGCCGCTCGCCCTTCACCCCCCCAAAAAAAAATTCACCATTTGGTTCTTTTTGGGAGTGAAGAATTCCCCCGCCCCCCCAGGGGTGAGACGAGGTGCCTTCGCTCTCACCGTCACCGGATTTGTGGCTTTTTCTCTGCCCCGACTGCACGGGGCGCCATGATGCGATCGTTGCAATAATGATTTCTGACCAAAAAAGGGCATTTTTGTTTCTCCTTGCTGAGGGAGCACAC